GCAAGGGGCGGGTCCTTGGACACTCGGATCCCGGCCGGCAGGTGCGGCGCAGCCTGTGGCCGCCTGGGTGTTTCTCTGGCCAGGGCCAGCCACGGGCCCGACCGAGAGAGGGCCGGTGAACCGGGAAGGTGGGAAGCCTTCCGGGTTGTTGACAGGCTGGGTTCTTTCAACCCTGACTGTGTGATTCCTTGGTTTATTTGGATGTATTAGCTCACCGAAGTATGAGTAGAATAGTCTAAACTAAAAGACTAGTTCGAGGAAAAAAGACAGACTTTCTCATTGTATTTGACAGAGCTTGAGAAAAAAACTCATTACAGAGGTAGGAACATGTCATCTATTAGATCTGCCTCTTGGGGACAAACTGCCTGTTCTCCCAGGAAGCAATAATGGATTCTACACTATAAATATAAGTGAAAAGCTAAACTAAGTTTGAGTAGTGCTTATGTGATGTTCTTTACCCTTTTCAGCTTGCTATTTTAAACTTGAAACACTGCTGTGGTTTTGCTTTGAGTCCACTTCAATTTCACATACCAAGTGAAATGAAATGAGTTGAGGTGTTTAATGTCTGAACGTCACTTTAATGGTAGAAGGCCTCATGATATGCTTCAGCCTCCCAGTTCAGCCTTACCTCCAACCCAGAGCCTTAGCTCAAAAGGTTGGGGTCTTTCTACCTACCCACACATACCATGCTAATTCCTACTTCTGTGCTTTTGTGCATCTAGCATGGACTCTCCTCCTCTCCTTCCTGACCTTCAATTTGAGCCATCTTTCAAGAGCTACTATATTAACTCTTTCCCAAGTGTCACCCCCCCAATTATCTTTCCTTAGAATTTACATTACCCTTGGTGTACACTATCTCACTCAGCACTGAATCAGTACTGTTAGTAATTCACTGTGCTGCACTCACATTGCACACATTTTAAGTCCTCTGCCTAACACTCCCCACCCCGTCCTTAGCTAGGCCAAACCTGAAAGAGGTTTAGAACTTTCTGGTTGAGTGAGCTTTGATCATAATAAGAAACAGGTTCTACAGGAATAATTATGACATCTTTACCCTTACACTGTCTAGGGCATCATCAAGGATGAGTAGGGGCTCCTTGGTATTTCTGATACTTGCCTAATATATATCATTTTTAAAGTTTTATTGCTGAAGTTATCAGGAATAAAAAATAAACCACTATTAAAATAAATCTAATTTTAAAAAATAATAGACCGCTATTAATTTTTTATCACTGTTACAATAGAAAAGCTGTTACTTAACGTAATGAAATTGATACTACAAATTATATATCCATTGCATTATAGTCACACCTCCTCTGCTCCTAAAGTTTTAGGATTTAACTCTAGTGAAAAGTAGTTGATGCCTGCATTCTCACTCCTAAAAATTAAGAAAGGCTATTTGTTTAGCTTCTCTGTCAAAATACATTTAAGGGCAACAGATTATATATGATATACCACCCTGAGTCCATAAGAGAAAATCTCCTTGCCAGCATCTTTTTAGATCCAGTTTGGAGCCAGGCTTATGCTTGAATTACGTTTCCAATAGCAGAAAATTTCCTTCCTTTTTGCCATTCCATTGCATCCACCAACAAGCCCATTCTAAAATCAGTGTAATATTTTCATTATGGTTCACCATATTTCTGTAAGTACCTTGATTTAACCTAATTTGCTTATTGTCAAAATACCCAAAAAATGATTATGAAAGAGAATTCACTGCTGACCACAGTAACATTGTGCTTCTAAGGATTGGAGAACAAAAGAAACGTCATTTCTGACAAAGATTGAAGAAGAGGTAAGAAGAGAAGCAAGAGTTGAGAAACAACGTCAAAAAATCAGTGAAGCGGCTCACCAGAAGGTAGAGTGAGCCTTTATTAATAACTTGGGCTATTTAAGGAAAGGCTTTTTGCCAATTTCGATGTTTTAAAGTGTGACTTGTCAGAAGAGGCCTAAACCCATGGCAATACTACTGATATAGAGATCCAGTCTGGTCTGAACCTGCACTTCAAGGGCTGATTTGAAATGGGACTAGCCTCCAGAATGTGGGCAATTAGTTAAATTGGATCTAGTTGTTAAAATATATTCTTCTTCATGCTGGACAAAAGTAAACTTACCCTTACTACCTTCCTAGCTTTGTAGTCATTATGACTTTAGAAATCTCAAGACAGGAATAAGGGCTCCTTTCAAATATACTATCATATTTGAACTATCTATTTTTACATTTCTAGTGTCAAGTTAATATTAAAATTTTTAATATATTAAATATTTATTTTTAATATTTTAGAAGCATATACTTCTAGAGAAAAAACTCACTTATCATTTACAAAAAATGCGAAGGAATGACCTTAAGAGAGAGAGGCTGGAAGGAAGTATATTTGAAAGCAAAGGACAAGATAAATCAGAAGGTAAGAGGGTGAGAAAAAGACAAAGTAGCTGAGTAGATGATGCATATCTATATATTAAATATTGGTGGCTTTGTAAAACCCCTCTATGAACTTATACAGTGAGATCACAAGGCTCTTGCAAAGGGAAACCCTAAAAGCTCACACTAGCTCTGCCAAGCACTGTCCAAGGAACTTTCAAGTTAAGCTCAAGTTATAAAGAATGTATACACACACATACACATATTATTATATACATTATAATATATGCTTCTATAAAGTACCTCAGTAGACAAGACTGCCTTTACTGCAGATTTTAAAAGGAGCCAATAAGAGTCATAATTAATAATAAAAGATGTGACAAAGAGAGAGCAAAAGAGAACAGATATATATATATCTGTCATTCAAACATACCATCTCTCTCTCCATATGGAGGGAGGAAGGGAGATGGGAAGGGAAGGAGGGAGGAAGAGAGAGAAAGAGAGAGAGGGAGCTAGTAAGAGAAAACATTTCTGAAAAGATAGATTGAAATAATGAGGGAAGCAAAGCAAGAAAAAAATAGAAGAAAAAATTTTAACTGAAGATAAGAAAAGATTATACAGAGCAGAAAGAGAGCAAGCTAGTAAGAAAACATGAAAATATTTTTAAAAGGAGATAAGAGACATTTAAAATACACTAAGAAATAGAAATAGAAAAAAATGTAAGAAAAAGTTTTAAAAAGAAGCAGCATTGGAAAGATGGTACAAAATAAATGAAATGGGAGAGGGAGAGGAAGAGAATGAATGGATAAGAAAGAAAAAGAAAGAAAATTGAGCAGAATAAATCAGTAAGAAAATACACACACTGAATGAGGTAGTAGGAGGAAGACAAAGGCAAAGAAACGAGACCAATAAGAGACAGGGAGAAGGAGGAAGAAAGGCAAGCAGGCAAATAAAAGAGAGTGAAAGAAACAGAGCAAGAAAAAGATGGGGAGATACAGGAACAAAGAACAAAGGGGAAGGGAGAAAGGAGGAGAGGGAGGTAGGTAAGAAAGTTTAAAAAGGATAAGTCAGTGGGATAAAGTAAAAGAGAAGAGAGAATGTGAGAGTGAGAGAGAAGAATTTAAGAGTAACCAGTCCCCTTTCCCCAGCTGCTGGTAAGGTGCTTGATTCTTCTGAGAAAGTTAAGGCTGCGTTGGGGTGAGGCCCTCACTGTACCTGGTGACTGGCACCGCTCCAGGCAGCACTCGCCACAACACTCCCAGGCTGTGGCCTCCATCTCGGAGCTCGCCTGCATCTGCTGGGCCCTTATCCTGCAGGATGTTGAGGTGACGGTGACGGGTAAGATCAATGCCCTCATTAAAGCACCTGGTGTAAATGCTGAGCCTTCCTGGCCAGGCTTGTTTGCAAAGGCGCTGGCCAGTGTCAACATTGGGAGCCTCATCTGCAAAGTAGGAGCTGGTGGACCCGCCCCAGCAGCTAGTGCTGCACCAGCAGGAGATCCTGCCCCCTCCACCACTGCTGCCCCAGCTGAGGGGAAGAAAGTAGAAGCAAAGAAAGAAGAATCTGAGCAGCCTGGTGATGACACAGGCATTGGCCTCTTTGACGAAACCTCTTGTAACACATTCAATAAAAAGCTGGACTCTGTTAAAAATAAATAAATAAATAAAAATAAAAGAGTAGACAGTAAGAAAATCAAATACAATTGGGAGGTGAAGTGACAGAGATATTAAAAATGAGAAGTCAGGCCCTGCTGGCTGAGCTCGACCTATGATCTAGGAGATTGAGGCTTGATCCCCGGTGGGGGGCGTGCAGGAGGCAGCCAATCAATGACTCTCATCATTGATGTTTCTATCTCTCTCTGTCCCTTTCCCTTCCTCTCTCTGAAATCAGTAAAGATATATATATATATATTTTTTTTTAAATGAAAAGTCAGTAAAAGAAGACAAAGATAGATAAAATAGAGTAGACTTTAAAAAAGAGAAGCTGCTATGGAAAAGCAGTACAAGGAAAATAGGCTGAATGCAACAAAAGGACACATTAGTAGGAGGAGAATAGGGGGGAAAGGACGTAGTAAAAAAGGAAGTAAAAGAGCATATGGAAATTAAGCATAAAAGAAAAACAGGTAAATGAAGGGAGGATAATTAAAGACAGCAGAAGGGAGAAAAAGAATAGAATAATAAGGAAAGATAAAGTTTTAAAAAGTAACAAAAGAGAACGAAAGAAAGAGAGAGAAAGAAAATATAAACAGACTTTACAAAAGAAGAGCCAGTAAGAAAGAAGAAAAACAGAAAGAAGGGAGGGAAAGGAGAGAGGAAAAGGGAGACAAAAGAAACATAAAGAGAAAGTAGATAAATAAGATGAAGTTTAAAAAAAGAGTAGCCAGAGGGAATCCAAAATGGCAGCAGAGCAGATGGATGTTACACTCACCTCCTGGTGACTGTAACATTGGATTGCATCAGCATTTCTCTCAAGAGGTTCCAGAACAAAGAACACCCACTGGACAGATTCAGACAACATCAGAGCAGGATCTAATTAACTCACAAGTGTAATATTCAAAGGGAGATCTTGGCAGGCACCAGACCCCCTGAGGTGAATTCTGCTGTTTATGGCCAGCACCTGCACAGCAGCGCATATACTGTGGTCGGGATTAAGCCTCACAGTCAGCCCGCCTGAGGGTTGGCCCCACACATGAACGGGCCAATAGCAATCAAGACTTAATTACAACAGGAGGGCCCACATAACCAGGGATATTCCTGGAGCACCCAGCTCAGGTGATCAAGGAGACTGTACCACTGGGTTCCACAGGAAACCTACTACGTAGGCCACCCTACCAAGACTGGCAGTCATAGCACATCTACCTAAATACACAGAAATAAACACAAAGAGGCAGCCAAAATGGGGAGACCAAAAAAAACATGACCCAAATGAAAGCACTGGAGAAATCTCCAGAAAAAGAGCTAAATGAAATGGAGGCAAGCAATTTATCAAATATAGAGTTAAAAAAAATGGTTAAAAGGATGCTCAAGAAACTTAGAACTACAACAGCATGAAAAAGGATACAGACAGTGTAAAAAAGAACCAGTCAGAAATGAAGAATACAGTAGAAGGAATAAACAGTAGGTTGGATGAAGCAAAGAATGGAATCAGTGATTAGGAAGGCAAGGTAACAGAAAACACCCAATCACAGCAGCAAAAAGAAAAAAGAATTTGCCATTGTCCAGTCCCTTCCCCCACTGATCAGCAGGGGACAGACTTGGAGAGTGTTGAATAAGCAAAGCTGTATAAATGGCATGTCTACATGATGTAGTTTTCCCTTCTTTCCTGTTAGATAATAACCAGCCCTAGCAGGTTTTGCTCAGTAGTTAGAGCATTGGCCTACAGACTGAAGGGTCTTGGGTTCGATTCCTGGTCAAGGGCATGTACCTCGGTTGCAGGCTTGATCCCCAGCCCTGGTTGGGGCTTGTACGGGAGGCAACCAATTGATGTATCTCTCTCACATTGATGTTTCTCTCTCTTTCTCTCTCCCCCTTCCACTCTGTCTGAAAAGCAATGGAAAAAATATCCTCCGGTGAGGATTAAAAAACATTCTGGAGGCAACCAATCAATGTGTCTCTCTCACATTCATGTTTCTCTCTTTGTCTATCCCCCTCCCTTCCACTCTCTCTGAAAAATCAATGGAACAAATGTCCTCGGGTAAGGATTAACAAAAAAATAATAATAATAACCAGATTATTATAATGGTATCAGATA